CAGATCTGTGGTTGGCCAAGGTGGGAGGGGGAGGAGGAGACTTTGGGGGAGGGGTTGAGCTTGTTCAGTATCTTCACTGTGGTGATGTTTCAAAACTTATCAAATTGAACACTTTAAATAAGTGCAGTTTAAAAAGTCATTTATATCAATTTTATCCAAACTGGTTGATCTCTCATGCTTCTAGATGCACCAATTTTCTCTATCTTTCAACAGGTAGCGACTCCCTCCCCAAAACATTTTTTTCTGTCTCCCCACAACTCAGTCAAGTCTGACACAGCTGTGAATGCCTGGTGTGAGTGGTTTAGGGGTAGAATTCAAAGAAGGGATTGAATCCCATGTCTAAATTGAAGCTGCCAAACTGGGATGGCTTGTGTGGATCAGGAGACTATCCATAAATGAGTGAATTCAGCAGAAGCATGAGCTCAAAACCAAGGTGCTCATGAGAGTCCTCCCTCTGGAAATTCTTATGTCTTGGGATAGAGTACAGGATTTCCATCGGATGTGTGAGGGAGGCTCAGGCCAGTGTCATAAATCTTAAGGTGCAGGGAGAGCTCAGTCGGCACTTGGGTTTCTTGCACAGACACAGAAGCCCAGATGAGCACCCAAAGAGCGCCTCTTCTGGCCACACTTCCTCACAGCGCGTGTCAAAGCCAGGCTCTCCCTCTGGGGAAAAGAGGGGGTGGCTCCTGGCAGAACTGGGTTTCCTCTGTAAAGAAACATCCGACATGGGAATGATCAGAGCAAAGAAGGGAGGTTGGCCGCTCAGCAAACCTGGAGTGCCAAGCCGCCTCTGCTGTCTTCGATCCTCTAGCCAGTCCATCCTGATCAGCCTCATAACACACACTGTAGCAACATCCCCCAGAGCCAGCACGCTGGCCATTGCAACCGAGGTCAGTCGACTCACAGGGACGTGACCCTTTAAGTCCCTCCACTCTGCGAGGTTCTCTGCTCCAGAGAGATGAGATCTTTTCCAGCCCTCTCCTCCTCCCTCCACCCACACCCATCCCCATCCCACCCTGGAACATCACAACAGAAACCAAATCAAACACTCCTTCTGAGGGGATAATCAAAGTGAGGTGTGTCTGGAGAGGACCCAGCTCCATGGAGCAAGCCTTTAATTTCAAGTTGACAAGACTGGGAGCGTGTGCCCTGGGCTCTCCGATAGGCAAGACGGATGGATGGCCAGGGAGTCCAGCTGACGAGTGAGAGCGGGCAGAGGGTGGAAGGAGCCAGACGGGGAGGGGCAGAGAGCTTCTCAAGTGGGCAAAGGGGGCCGTCTGCTCTACAGGTCTGCTTGCTTCCTGCAAACTTGAGCTGCTGGCATCTCCCCTCATTGCCTGGAGGGAGGTCTACAGCCTCAGATACAGCTCCTGCCCATCCCCCCCCCACCCCAGACATGGGGTAGGAAGAAAACCTGAAAGACAACCCAGGGTCACGGAGCACCCTAAGGATGGAGACTGGACCCTCAATACAGATCCCTGGGCTCCTGAACCCAGATGGCAGGGCTGCCCTGGGAAAAGGGTCTCACTGAAACATCAAGAAACTGAGACTTTACAAAAACTTTCACCTGCTTAGAAGCAGGCATCCCTGGGGCTCTTGTCATCATCCTGGCCTCAAGAGAAAACATGGCCATGGAGGTAGGGATTCCTGCTCGAGGTCACAACACAAGTCAGAGATGAAACTAAGACTGTCAGAGAGTAGGTCTGGCATTCACAAATAATACATCTCAAGACCTTGGTAAGGCCTCTATTTCTTAAAAACAAGACAAACAAACAAAACCCATAGGACTCATTGGATAACACTGGTGCCACTCCAGGCTGCAGCAGCTGGGAGACAGTGAGGCCCTGGCCAGCTCAGCGACCCTGTGGGTCAAATCCAGGCCTCAACAGAAGGACAGATTATTTCCTGGCTGGGCTTCAAAGAGCTGAAATCACAAACAGCCCCAAACAGACCCACCGCCCCCTTCACAGCTCTCTGGGCTCCTGGCCCAGCGCTCCAGCCGTCAGCCGCTGCCATGCTGAGTGGAGGGTTTTGTGGACAGATGACTAAGACCAGGATGGGCAGGCAGCTGTCAGGAGAGCAGCTCCAACCTGCGCCCAGAAACGGGCTGCCCTCTTCCTTTCTCAAGGCCCCACCTGCTGATACTGGGCCTGAGCATCTGCCTTGGCTCCTTCGGGGATTATGTCAGGGCTGACATCCTCAAGACCTTAGTTTCCCCATCTGTAAAGTGGAAGGAGAGAGGAGCCCCCTTCTGCCTCTTCCTCAGGGACCCTGTGAGTGGGGCTCCTGGGTGACGATGGGACTGAACCTGTCTGGAGAGCTTGGTACACTGTAGGAAACGTGTCAGAAAGTGGGATCTGGCTGATTCCACAGGGGAGCTGGAGGGGGCTCCCCACTGTAACGGGAGAGCTGGCTGGGCGGTGCCCGGTGCCACCCCCACCCACCCATAGTCCACGGAATAAGAATGCTCTCACTGAGCACAGCTGGACTGGTCCACTTGCTCTCTCGGACAGCTCTGGGGAGCCCATCTGGTCTCCTGGCTCCACTGGAAACTGCTGCAGGCCAGATGCAGGTCTATCTCGTGCCCCATGCAGGCTGAGCACACAGGGACTTGATCAGCCCCTGCTCTCTGACCTGACCCAGTCATGCTCCGTACGGGGAGGTGGCCGACCCTTGCTGTAGGAGAGCTTTGAAGCTGGCCCCAGGGAACTGGCCCTCCTCTCAGGGGCAGTAAGAGCCCTAGAGGGTGGCCTGGGGAGCAGGTCCTCAGCGCCTTTCCAAGGCCTGCCCCCTTTGCTGTCACCTGTGTCATCAGGCCAGCACTGAGCTCCAGGACACTCCAGCCTGGGTCCTGGCCGAGTGGAAGAAGTGATGACTTCAACTCTTCATGGCTGCTGGGGGCTGTGCAGGAAACGCCCCCTCCACCATCACCAAAGGAACCCAGCTGCCCTTTCTCCTGTGCCCACGTGCCACAGTCCCCAGGGATTCCGGGCAGGGTGCGAGCCGGCCCAGCTCCTGCCTCCTTCCTCGGTCTTTAATATTCATGAGCACTCCTAGCAGGGGAGCTAAAAATGTTCCGCTCCTAAATCTAACTGCTTTATAGAAGCCTAATTAAATTCTTTGGAGGAAGGGGGGGAAAAGTGACCTTCAAAACTGCCAAAGCTCGTCGGAGTGGCTCGTCCCAGAAACCTTTGGCCTCCTCTCCCCTCCCACTGAGGTGGCCTTTCCTCTGGTGAAGAAACTCTCCCCCACCCCTCTGGTTGAGGGTCCAGAGGATGTTCCAGGGGTGGGCCCCCGATGGCATGACTGCCTCCTGTCTGAGTAACACAGTGATGGAGGCTCTTCTGGCCACCAGATGACCTCGGTCCTGGCTGGAAACTGCAGTCTCAGCCAGCAGATGGGGCTGAGCGGGGAGAGACGGCAACAGGGAGGGGTCAGCTATGGTGGAGAGAGGGTGACAGGGCGCGTCCCCACACTCCTCTGCAGCAAGTTACTCTAGGAATTTCAGATTTCCTCTTTCCCTGGCTGCCTCGTCTGTGCATCCTGGCAAGGCCCAGATGGGCAAGGGAGGGAGGCCAGCCCTTTGCAAGCCTGTGCCTGGGAACTCACATCCTTATTTGCTTCTCCTGTTTACCAGCGACAAACAGCCACGTCCCCAGAGGCCAGTGAAAGAAGCTGTTCCTTTCTGAGGGCCTCTGAATAGAAAGGAGGAGGGTCTAAATCCCCCACCCTCTTCTCTGTAACCTGAAAAGAGTTTCCTCCTCCTGATAAGGGCTTCCCAGGCGGCTCAGGTGTAAAGAGTCCGCCTGCAGTGCAGGAGACCCAGGCTTGATCCCTGTGTTGGGAAGATCCCCTAAAGGAGGGCCTGGCAGCCCACTCCAGTATTCCTGCCTGGAAAATCCCATGGACAGAGGAGCTTGGCGGGCTACAGTCCACGAGGTCACAAGAAGTCAGACACAAGTGACTGAGCACCCCTCCTGAGAAAGTGAAAGAGATGTGAGGAGGGAGGTGGTGAGGATGTGAACTCCAAGCCCCTCACCTGAGCAGGGTCAGAATTCACCCTTGACGATAGTGCAGACATGGCTGAGGTTCAGCAAGACCCTCCTGCAGGAGAAGAAAGAGTCTGGGCAGAATCTCTCAGGCAGTGGGCAGGAAGAGACCTAGAGACCCAGATCCACACGGCGAACAAGCATCAGGCCAGCTCTCAGAGGACCTGGGTTAACACAAGCTGAGTGAACACGAATGCTCACGCATGCCTGCGAGGAGATGACAGAGGTGCAAACTGAGACCAGCTGGTTTCTTTTCTACTTTGGAAGGAGATGATTTTTAGCTGGTCCAAATTCATCTTCTAATTGGTTGCCAAGGTGACTTTAGTGGTAAACAATCCGCCTGTCAATGCAGGAGACGGGGGTTCAATCCCTGGGTTGGAAAGATCCCCTGGAAAAGGAAATGGAAATCCACTCCAGTATTTTTGCCTGGGAAATGCCACAGCCAGAGGAGCCTGGTGGGCTACAGTCCATGGGGCTGCAAAGAGCTGGACACGACTGAGCACACACACACATACACACACACGCAAGTCATTCACAGACAATGTCACAGGGCAGCTTGATGATTGGGAGCTGATAAGCCTGCATGACACCCTGGCTGGCCATGAGCCATTCATTCCTGGGATGTGTATTCTTCAAAATCAGTTTCCTGGTCATTTTGAGGCTGTCAGGATAGATCCTGCTTGGTGGGCAAACTCTCAGTTTGTAGTGACCACTCTCAGTGGTCACTACATCCATCCTAGCCCATGCAAAAGTGGAGTCTAGAAAACCAAGCTCCCAGGTAGTCTACAGTGGTCAGGCACAGCCAGCAGCCCTGGACAGCCAGAGAGGACAACACAGCCTCCCGCTGTGGGCTCCCCATCAGGGTCCTCTCACTGCATCCATCTCCTCTCTCCACTCATTCTTGACTTCCCCTCTACTCCTGTCCTCTTGGGGTGGCCATTCCCTCCCCAGACCCAAATCCTTTCCACTGTAGTATCCAGCTCCCCGAGGGGGCTCTTCCCAAGCCAGGCCTCCACGCAGCCCAGGCAGGCTTCTACCTGGCCCTGACCCTCGGGCTGGCCAAGCCGCTCGGAGCCCCTCACCGCCTGAGCTAGAACCAAACTCCTTCGTGGACCTGACTCTTAACTCCCCTCACAGGTCCCTGTCTTGCTCTCAATGCCTTTGGGAGCTCCCTGTGTGCCCTCAGAGACACAACGTATCCACAGAAAGTGAATGAATCTGAGGTGGAATGAAAATGAAAGAATAAACAAACGTTCATTGAGTCCCAGAGTCGAGACACTGTGCTGGGTGGTGAAGGGGTGCAGGGCGTGAAAACAGGCTTGTCCTACTCTCAGGAAAGCTCAGTCTGAGAAAGAAGAAGAGTGAGCAAAGGAAGGGGATCGGTGAATGAACGCAGATGAGAGCAAGCAGGCGAGTGAGTGGGTGCCTGGACAGAGCACGAATGCCCAGGCTCTGGGGGCCCCCAGTGATGCTCCTGGTCAGAGGCATTTTCTTACCCATCTATACCCCACAGCCCACTCTTCCTCTTCGGGCTCCCTCAGGGCTGGCTCTCCCCAAGGTGAGTGTTCAGACTGCCTCCTCCACCCTTCCCTCCACTACTGAGTCTATTTTGGTGTTTCTGCTGCACGAGGTACGCCTCCCTCTGCTCACAGCTGCTGCTTTCCCCACTCCGCCTTCCAAGGCCTTGAATCAAATGGGAGTGAGCAGGGCCGCCCCCACCTTGGGCTGAAACCCGGCCTGCTTAGGCCTGCTCCAGGGCAAGCACTCGGGTGCCAAGGAGCCCCACCAATGGCCAAATAAGGGCACCTGAGTTGATGGCCAACCCTGCTGGTCTGGGGCAGTTCCCCTGCCCCCTGCCCCCCACCATGCCAGGGCCTGGGGAGGGGCCCCTGAAGCCGAAAGAGGAAGGACCTGTGCTCCCAGTCAGGGGGGTACAAAGGCACTGTCAGGCTCCTGCAGCGTCCTTCAGTTCAGTTCAGTTCAGTCACTCAGTCGTGTCTGATTCTTTGCGACTCCATAGACTGCAGCACGCCAGGCTTCCCTGTCCATCACCAACTCCCAGAGTTTACTCAAACTCATATCCATTGAGTTGGTGATGCCATCCAACCATCTCATCCTCTGTTGTCCCCTTCTCCTCCTGCCTTCAATCTTTCCCAGCATCATCTTTTCAAATGAGTCAGTTCTTCACATCAAGTGGCCAAAGTATTGGAGTTTCAGCTTCAGCATCAGTCCTTCCAAGGCTGTTAACAAATACACACTGTTGAAGCATGTTATGGGTTTCCCTAAGTGGCTCAAATGGTAAGAAATCCACCTGCATTGTGGGAGACCTGGCTTCAACTGCTGGGTCGGAAAGATCTCCTGGAGAAGGGCATGGCAACCCACTCCAGTATTCTTGCCTAGAGAATTCCAGGGACAGACGAGCTCAGCGGGCTACAGTCCATGGAGTCACAAAAAGTCAGATACACCTGAGCGACTAACACACACACAAAACATGTTATGCTGAACAATAAAAATAAACAACATTTCTGGTGTGTAAAGTAAATGGTAATGGTTTCCCTGGTGGCTCAGTAGTAAAGAATCTGCCTGTGAATGTGGGAGACTAGTGTTCCGTCCCTAGGTTGGGAAGATTCCCTGGAGAAGCAAATGGCAACCCAGTCCAGTATTCTTGTCTGGGAAATGCCACGGACAGAGGAGCCTGGTGGGCTACAGTCCACGGGGTCACCAAAGAGTCAGACACAGCTTAGCGACTAAACAACAACAGCAATTTTTTATTAAGATACATTTAATGCTGGAACACAACTTCTGAGTCTCACAGATGTAGGCTTGTCTGATCTCTTCAGACAGTTATTCCCAGGACTTGAGGTTTGGCCCTCTACCTTCCCTGTACTGTAGTGTGTATGTGAGTGTGTGCTTGCGTGTCCATGTGTGTGTGCAGGGGGTGGGGTACAGAGCTAGGGTTCCAGGTTTTATGCAGATGTTCCCAATGTTCTGTGTAGCTTTGGGCCATGTGCAGAGAAGATGTGGTTTGACCTGGGATCCCTTAGACAAGTCAGTGTCTGAGGCTCCTTTACCATGAATGGGCATCAGAATATAGCAGATGCTCTTGGTGGGGGGGGCAGGGGTGGCCACCTAGACCCCATCTTCAGAAACCAGGCCTTCAATTCTCCAGCTGCCTGGGCACTGCCTGCTGATGGCTTCCCAACAATATCCTTGGCAAAAGGGAGCTGCCCTCCCCAGTGTTAGGGACCTTCCGCAGAGGCTGCCCACAACCAAAGACTTATCCACGTGGGATGCAGAGGCTTGACCCCCTCACCTCCACTCGAGGTATCGTTGAAGGACCTCGGTCTCAGCACTGAGCTTGTCCAAGGTCTTGTAACTATCGTGTGCTTACCTTGTCCCTCTGCCCCGTCCTGTTTCCCTCACTCTCTTACAGGTATTATTTTCCTACAGCAGGGATCCCCAGCCTCTATGATCTAATGCCTGATGATCTGAGGTGGAATTGATATAATAATAATATAAATAAAGTGTACCAGGGAGGTTCAGGAGGGAGGGGACATGTGTATACCAATGGCTGATTCATACTGATGTATGGCACAAACCAGCACAACGCTGTAAAGCAATCATCCTCCAATTAAAAATAAATACATTTTTTAAAAAGTGCACAACAAATGTAATGCACTTGAATCATCGTAACACCATTCTCTGCCCCAGTTCTTGGGAAAATTGTCTTCCATGAAACTGGTCTCTGGTGCTTTGGCACCAGAGGTTGGGGACCATCCCCAGAAATCCTCTTGAGTGTGCTTACCTATCTCAGAGTCTGAGATCTAAAAGGGTAACCAAGTTGTAGCCAGTTAAATGTGATGAGGAGAGCACACAGCTTAGCACGGTGCCTGACTAATGGCTGTTCTGATCCTCCGTGGAGGGCACTGTTTCCCAGCCCTGGCTGAATATCAAAATCAGCTGTGTGGCCTAGAAAAAAGAGCCAGATGTTTAGGCCACTTCCCCAGAGATTTTGATTCAGGAGGACTTAAACCGGTCCCAATCTCTGAATTCTCAGAAGTTCTACAAGTGTTTCTGACGGACAGCCAGGGCCGACAAGCACTGACCCAGGTCATCTGTCTCTCCCACCATCACCTCTTTAATTTACAGGCAAGAACCACAGACCCATGTAGGGCAAAGTGACCTGTTCAAGGGCAGGCAGGTATTTAGCTGCCCAGATAGGGCTCAATTCATTAATCCTGACTCACTCAGGGTCAGTGCCTGGCAGGGACATGGGGGCGGGGAACCATCTGGAAAAGGCCCTTGAGTCCAACTCTCTCCCACAGAATCACAAGGTAATCGCATTTATTAAGCAAATCTCAGAACATCTGGCCTGGTTGACAACATAAAGGCAGTGTAGGTTCAAGCACACTGAGCTCCCAGAGGAGGGAGTCCTCAATGTGGTGTGATTATCAGGGAGGTCCTCAAGGAGGAGGTGCGCCCTGAACCAAACTTTACAGAATGGTGAGGCTTTGGTTAGGGAGCAGGCAGGAAGGATGCCAACACCAGAACTAGTCATCTCAACCAGAGGTCAATCAGTTTCTAAGGAAACCAATGCTGATCTGTATTCTCATCATCCTTCTGGCAAGACTGAGGGATCTCAGGGGCACTCAGACTCTTCGACCAGCAGGCAACAATTGCCCAGTTTTTAGAAAAATGTATTCTGTTCTAAAGATTAAAACTTAGATGAGGGTTTGTTTAGAAGCTGGTTGATCTGTCCTTTAGTAGCCCCACTTCCCTCTAAGTGCTCAAGTCCCAGAAGACATGGAGCTATGTGTTATAGCAGAGGCAGAGACTAGAGCCTGAGTTCACACTTATAAGCATGTGAACTTGGCCAAGTTTCTTAACCTCTCTGAGCCTCTACTTGTTCAACTTTAAAATGGGGACAATAAAACTTGCCCTCCTCCCTCTCTCAGTTATTAGAAGGATCAAATGGTATCATGACGGCCAGGACACTTCTTTACACAGCAAAGCACACTAAAAGTGTGAGCTGCTACTATTTTCCACATTTCTCTCTTTAAATTCAGGATGCAAAGCCCAGGAAGGTTTCCGTCAATGCCCAGCACCCTACAGTGAGCCATATGGGAAACAGAGGCAAGAGCAAAGTTCCCCCAATCTGACCCTAATGCTTTTTCCAGTCCCAATATAGCAGCATACCTCTTCCTCAAATCTTTCTTTTCTCTCTAATTTCTTAGGCACTATGGGGAATTGTGCATCCTCACCTCGCCCTAAATTTGTAGTCTTTGATGCCTCCTAATCTTTTGATCCCCTCTGCAGCAGCCTGCCAGCCTGTCCTTCCTGCCTGCGTGTCATCTTGAGGATCCCCCATCTATCCTCTCTTCACTTTGGGCATCCTAAACTCAGTCTGAGATCAGCTCCTCCTGGGCCCCAGATAATTATAATCCCCCTCTCTGTAGGATTCTCATCCTCCCATTTATAACACTGGAAGGATGTTACCTGCTGATTCATTCATAGAAAGACACTCAGCTGGGCACTTGGGATACAGAGTGACCTGGGGACTTCCCTGGTGGCCCAGTGGTTAAGACTCCACATTCCCAATGCAAGGAGCACAGGTTTGATCCCTGATTGAGGAACTAAGATCCCACATGCCTTGGACAAAATAAATAAATAAACCCTACAGCAGTGTTAACTACAGTCACTGTGTTGGGCTTTGTGCAGTCACTGTGTTGGGCTTTGTGCTGTGGTAAGTCTTTTCAGTCGTGCCTGACTCTTTACGACCCTATGGACTGTAGCCTGGCAGACTCCTCTGTCCGTGGGATTCTCCAGGCAAGAATATTGGAGTGGGTTGCCATGCCCTCCTCCAGGAGATCTTCCCGACCTAGGAATTGAACCCGGGTCTTTTACATATCCTACATTGGCAGGAGGGTTTTATTTTTTTACCACTAGCACCACCTGGGAAGCCCCATGTTGTACATTACATTCCTATAAAATAAATAAGACTCTGTAAAAGAGCCTTGAGGGCTCATCACCAGTCACTGCCAGGCTAGATGGAGGGGAGCCAGGCTCTCATGGAGCCTGGGCTGGAGGACTGGAC